CTTCTCATCAGTGAGCAGCCCCTATTTACAGTGTGTGGAGATTTGGGCAACAATTTGAGGAGCATCTTCGCAGCCCCTACCATGTGGAACACCGCTAGAGAGGATGCCAATTGACCTCCTTCATCCTCTCCCAAAGATTTATAGGATTTCAAGGATATATAATCTCCATAGATAAAACATATCTCTCTTATATGTGTGGTTTTCTGATTTTGTAATTTTTGCGCTTCAATATTCGCATGACGATGAAACATTTTTTTATGAAAATATAAGATTTTTCTTTTTATTCTTCCGTTGCGCATGTGATATCATCATAGATTTTCCTACAGCACTTTAGCCAAGCTAATACACTCTTGAGCCATGTTCCTCGGTATAAAGACATGAGAGTTGCACCTCGATAGAGTGGAGCCTGTTAAGATGGACTTGCTCCCGAGTTGTGCACCTCGACATGAAGACCTGAGGGTTGCACCTCAATCGAGCTAACATGCTCACGAGCCATGAACCTCAGTATGAAAATCCAAGGGCTATAACTTGGCCAAGCTAACATACTCTCGAGCCATGCACCACAACATGAAGACCCGAGGCCTACATCTCGGCCGAGCTAACATGCTCCTGAACCATGCATCTCGGTATGAAGACCCGAGGGCTGCACCTCAACTGAGCTAATATGCTTTCAAGCCGTACACCTTGGCATAAAGACTCAAGAGCTATACCTTGTTAGAGTGGAGCTCATTAAGGCGGACTCGCTCCCGAGCCGTGCACCTTAGTATGAAGACCTGAGGCCTGCACCTCGATCGAGCTAACATGCTCTCGAGTTGTACACCTCAGCATGAAGACCTAAGGCCTGCACCTCAGCTAAGCTAACATGCTCTCGAGTCATGCACCTCAGCATGAAGACCCAAAGGTTGCACCTTGGCCAAGCTAACACGCTCTCGAGTCGTATACCTCGACATGAAGACCCAAGGTCTGAACCTCAATAGAATGGAGCTCATTAAGATAGACTTTCTTCCGAACTATACACCTCAGTGTCAAGACTAGAGGGCTATGCCTCGGTCGAACTAACATGCTCCTGAACTATATACCTCAACTAGAAGACCTGCTAAGGTGGACATCCATCCAGGTTGCACACCTCAACAGAGAAAGCTCGTGCTCGAGTTATACGAGAGTGTCCTCCAGAAACTCTATTTGAAGCCTCGAAGGACGCCCTTCTGAGGGGGAGATAAATGATAGGGATAATCTTGTCTCATTCCAGCTCATCCACCACGGAAGCAGACACCAAAGTAGGACTCTAAGTCATTAGCCTCTCGACGATGCCACATCTTGAGTGTGGCCCAATCTGGCTCGCATTAATGACCGATAGTATGGCACAACCTTAGTAATCCTTCCTGCCAAATGAAGGACATGAAGATCGTTCCCTGCTTGGATAAAAGAAGGAAGGGAATCCGACCATAAGGCAATAGCCCCAATAGTCCTTCAAGTGTAGCTCGTCGGTAAGTTGGCCACCTTAACTCCCTCACCTCACTAAGATTAAAGGATGAGATGATAAAGATTTTCGCTATCATGATCAATCATTTAACCTAGCCTTACCTTTGAATCAGTAAGAAAGCCAATAAGATCGACCAAGCGCCTAAGTATAAAAGCTACCCATCAACTCATGCTAAAGGGGGGCTACACTCATTCTAATATACAACTTATACTACCCTTTCTCTCTTCTTGCAATGCACTAATTTAAGTATCAGAGGGGTCGAGTCGGGTAGCCCCCGACATTGACCTGTCGTGTAAGAAAGCAACTCGGTGGTCGAGAAAGGATCATGTAGTTAAAAATACCCCAATCCCTTTACCTGACCTCTCCACTCCTAAGCTAGAGCACCCCCGATAGATAGCCTCTCGTACAGACCTCTTACGTTAGATTATCACGTTAGCATGGAGGAGACGCGAGGATGGACCTACACCTTCGATAGTGAACCAACCACTCCAATCAATGATATTCATGACACCATCATATATAAAAGTAAAATATTTAATCTTATTTCTTCTTACGCTATCGACTATATAGACAAAAATATTGCACTTACTATCATGCACGAAAAATGACATTACAATAGGGCCAAAAGATAATTTAGTAATGCTATTTTCATCGATATTAATTTTTTCTTCTATAACTTCTATTTTTCTATGGCTTCGATGGAGGAAGAGGAGGCAGGATCATAAGATAAAGAGAAAGAACCTTTCTACGGGGTACCTCACTTCATTTCTCAACAAAACGTTCGAAAATATAATGAGAAAAGATGCAACACTCGAATAGCACTATCTCATTTCATTTCCCAACAAAACTTCTCTCTTTTAAATTTTAATCTTACAAAATTATCTTTATAATCTTGTTTTAGTATTATTTCTGGCATATGATATTTTCGTCCATAGAATTGATGATATAAGGAGAAACAATATTAAATATTTTACTTTCATAAGGATCTTAAGATAATTTTTAAAAATATAAGAATCGGATAACTAATTATTACATGAATAATATATAATTAACCTAAAAATATGTAAAAGAAGTCTGAGCTACGGTAGGATACGAGCAAGATAAGACAAAGACGTCGCTTTGGACCCAAATATACAAATATAAAGAGGTTGTCAAGTGGAATCCGATGTGAGGCAAAACTATTTTAGATAAGTGGGAGATGCAATCAGTGGAGGCTTAAGTTGAACGCAACGAAGGTGCCCACTCATGTCTAGTGACAGCGTGGTCTTGATAGTCCTCGTCACCGGTTGCAGCCCATCTCATTGGGCCGCGATCCGACGAGGTCCACCCGCGGATAGACACGTCCACATAGATTCTAGCCGAAACAGTTACATGTGGCTGACGGTCATTTGCCGAGAAAAAAGACCGGACCATAGCGTTCGGAATCCGTAGTGGAGGCTCCAAATCGGAGATGTGAACGCTTTATGGGTCAGAATGGTGGCGGCTGTGAGTGCGCTCAGGGATACCGTGTTATTGACTTCTACGTTCGCGGAGCCCATTTGAATCCACTAGAAACCGTGATCCTACGATGTGCTGCTCCTCGGTTACTACATACACTACGTTCCGGCTATCCGGGAACCACCGTGTACTTGGAACGCTAGTGTGCGGGGATGAGACCTTAACTCATCGCACCAAGTACAACTTATCTGTTCCCAGACAAGACCGCCTTTATCGCTTCCCCCACACGCTCTCTCTGCGTATATACACCCCGATGCATACCACGCACCGAGTCTCACGGAGAGTCGACGACGAGCGCAGCAAGAGCCATGTGGGCGCCTACGCTGCTCGCCCCTTCAACCCTAAGCCACCTCCACCTCCTCCAACAGCACGAGGAAGCGCACGCGAGGCGGTTGCTGCTGTCCGACGCCCCTTCCTACTCTCTGCCCCACAGCTCGACCACGAGCGCGGACGACTCGCTCAACGCCAATGTCGTCATGGTTCTCGCCGTTCTCGTCTGCTCCGTGGTCTGCGCGCTGGCGGTGAACGCCATCGTCCGCTGCGCCTTGGTCGTGCTGAAGTGGGCGCGGTCGAGGCCCTGTGCCCCGCTGGAGTGCTGGGAGCGCGACGGGGGCGGGAGGGAGGAGGCGCTGACGGCCCTGTCGAGCTTCGTTTACCACCCTGGGATGGGGGTGCCCAAGGCGGGGCCGGAGTGCGCCATATGCTTGTGGGAGTTCGTGCCCGGGGAGCGCGTCCGCCTGCTGCCTATGTGCAACCACGGGTTCCACGTCGGATGCGTCGACCGGTGGCTCGCTTCGCGGCCATCGTGCCCGACGTGCCGGCGCAGTCTACCGAGTTACGTGGGGGCCGTGGGTGTGCACAGTTGAGTCAGGTCAGTCTCAAACGCTCGAGCAGGTATTGTTGACGATAGGCGTGCGAGTTGGTTTGCTATATACTTCATGATCTTTCTGAATTGGGGTGTGGTATACTTGGACATGTCATGACCGGTTTGTCTATAACTATATAAATGTATACTTTGGACAATCTTTGGTCTTAAGATGATGGAACTAAATTGCTATAACTCCAAGCTAGTTTGAATCAAGTCTCGAAGAAGATTACACTGGTGAAGCTGCTGCCGTTGGTTCAATGCAAAGATGAAGTGAGCCTCGGAAACATAGGCAGGTTTAGATGTATTACCATGGAATAGGAATGACAATTCCTATGATTTATGTATTGGTTCAATGGAAATGATCATCCCACTATGATTTATGACAACCGATTACATGGTCCAAAGTCAAGTCATGCCTTGATTGACTTTAATTAGTTTGGTGAAAACTTTTAAGAAGAAGACTGCGTTGACTGTGTTCGATATGATGGACAATATCATGGATAAAAGAGATTTAAAGGCGCGTGTCACGAAATGTTTTAGAACAACTTGTCAATTGTTACTAATAACATCAATTAGAAGTCAGAGGGTAAAGTTGCAACAAGATCGACATCGGCTTTTTGTAATATGACTATGGAATATATATAAATAGATATATAACTTATCTGGTCATTATAATGAATTCATATTTTATAAGAAAAACACAAAATTCTTCCTAGTTATCTGTATGTATTTATCGCGTATTACTCATACTAAAAAAATACTTCGACTTAGTGTGTGTTTATTTTTATTTTTATCATATCTCTAAGAGTCAATTCGACTTCAACTGATCAATTCTTATTGTCTTAATGTTCCATCCCTCAACTGCCTCACCCCAGTCGCTCACCCACGAAACCAACCAACGAAGACGCGGGACCCACGGCGGTCTGACGGAGAGAGGCGTCGCGGTGGATGTTAAATGCGTGCGGGTGATTTGCAGCGAAAAGACGGAGAGACTAAGACGTGGCAGCACAAGAGAGGGCCTCAGATGACACACGGATCGATATCCGTGGCCTATCAACACAGCGAATCTGACCCGCTTAGTCGTCCCAGATCTGACGTTCGAAATCGTCGCATTCATCCTCGAAACCTCTTTTCGAAACCCTAATTCCCGCCCTCTTCCCCTCTCGATTTAAACCTCCCACCGCTTCCTCTCCGACCCCCATTGATCTCCGCATCTCCAATCCTCAATCTCGAATCCTTCCTCGCTCGCGTACGAGATGGCCCGGACGAAGCAGACGGCGCGGAAATCCACGGGTGGCAAAGCCCCGCGGAAGCAGCTGGCGACGAAGGCGGCGAGGAAGTCGGCCCCCGCGACCGGCGGCGTCAAGAAGCCCCACCGCTTCCGGCCCGGGACAGTAGCGCTGCGAGAGATCCGCAAGTACCAGAAGAGCACGGAGCTGCTCATCCGGAAGCTGCCTTTCCAGCGCCTGGTCCGCGAGATCGCCCAGGACTTCAAGACCGACCTCCGCTTCCAGAGCTCCGCCGTTGCCGCCCTGCAGGAGGCCGCGGAGGCCTACCTTGTGGGCCTATTCGAGGACACCAACCTCTGTGCCATTCACGCCAAGAGAGTAACCATCATGCCCAAGGATATCCAGCTCGCCCGTCGGATCCGCGGGGAGAGGGCTTGATGGCCGACCTATCCCCTCCTGGTTTATGAGTCCTTAAGACCCATTTCATCTATTCTACTCTATTCTGTAATTCGAGTGGGTCTTTGTTAATTAATGGATAATATTATGGTCCTTTGACATGCATATCATAAAGTCTGAATGAAACAAATACAACAGCACAAATCTTGACGCTCCACTTGACCAATAACAACCGTTTCCAGTCTTCTACCGCCTCAAGCTCTGCAAGATGTATTCCGCGTACAGATCCCTGCAAAAAGTTCCTACCGATCAGGCATTGCTTTCATTGGTACGCTTCAGGTTGAATCGACTTACATGGAGTATTGGATGGCTTCACGAGCAGCTGTCGTAGACAAGAACTCATTAACGGCGACCTCTTTGTTCTCGTTTTTCTTATCTGAACAACCTGTCAAGGTATTGCCATTCCGAACAAAAAATGCATAGTAGGCCACCATGTCTCTGAGAAGGATACAATCTTCGAAGAAGCGGCGGATCTCAGCAAGACGATGAGGAGGCAGTTCGCTGAGGTCATTGTAGTGACGGTACTCGGGATCGTCGGCACAAACTGCGATGATCTTGTCATCTTTCTCTCCCTGTTACCACAGCCACCACCGGTATTTAGTTTCGGTTCTTTGAGCGTCCATGAGTTGGCTCATGAATCAGAGACTTACCTGATCGATCATAGGCATAAGTCCAATAGCCCTGGCACGCAGGAAGCACCCCGGAATCACTGGCTCCTGCTTCAACATTTGGTTTTGCATGTAATCAGTAATCACTGTGATCAGGATACAAATTGTGTGCTTTTTGATGAAGATAGAATTTTCTTTAGAAGAAGCAAATTTTGGCGTGGATTTGATACTTTGAGATCAAATGATAACGACAAGCATTAGCAATTGCATCGTAAAAGAAAATGAGGCAATAAATAAGTTTTTAGTTAACCTGCATGAGGACTAGAACATCCATGGGATCATTGTCTTCGCAAAGTGTGCGAGGAATGAAACCGTAATTATGAGGATAGACCACTGATGAGTACAAGATCCTATCAACCTGGGAGAGATGTCCAGCGACTGAATAATATTAACAGAAGGATATAATCCAGGCAAAAGAAGAATCTATTATACATTTGATAGTATTTGCTTGGTGTCAATTAGAAGAACATGCACGCACCTTGATCAATCCTGTCTTCTTGTCGAGCTCGTATTTAACTTTACTCCCTTTTGTGATCTCTACAACCTATGTTGATTCAAAGAATGACAATGACATCAACAATAGGAGTCAGCAAATGATTTAGAAAAGAAAAGAGATTAGGTGATCAGCTCTGATATTTCTGTCTTCCTTGACCTGTCTCTTTTCTTTTAGTAGATAGAGATCCATACATATGATATGTATTATTGGTACAAAACACAACCCTTGTTTATCTTCTACGCGCAAATTGTCACCACTAGTTTTTCATGTCATTGAATTTTATTTCGTTCATGTACCTAACCATGTTTTCTTGCAAGAGAATACTTACTACATTGAACACAGCCGGAGCTTCAGGCCCTGCACATAGTCATTCATTAAGTGGTCATTCAACAACTTAAGGCTGCTTTAGATGCAAACAGTGCCGCAATTATTAGGTACTGAGATACAAAACCTATTTCAAGATCATGCCAAGGATGTGCTGCTACTGATCTCTTCGACAGTGACGACAGAATCCTTTCATTCAACCGTGGAACTGGGCGTCTCTCTGTTGAAGCTGTACCATTTTCTTTGCTCATTTTTCCTGCAACCAAAAGTTTATAAAATGTCATTGCTCTGTATGCGGTTGCTTCTCTTAAAGAAGTGAAGCAGACTGTTGTCACCTAAAAAACAACCTGCAGAATTATGAATCAGAGTTGATCTAAGATTCTCATTTTCATGAACTACAACTACAGGTTTAGGGCTTGCTGCAACTAGTTTTCTGGACTTGTCTTGGTGCTGAAGATGGCTATTATTTATTTTTGTTGTGGTGATTAAAGCCTAAATATCAACTACAGTTGTCCCACATTTTTTTCTGATGCACAGTTTGAGTCAGCTTCCTCCCAATGCTTGGTCCTTTTGACTGATTCTTTTCTGTAATTGACAAAGAGAGTCAGCCATTTGCCAACAACCACCCCCCCTCTCAGCAGTAAAAAAGTGACCAATTGCACAATGATCAGAGATCAGATCAAGGATGCTAGGAAAAAACAAATAAGAGGCAACTAATACTTGAAAAAGAGGAGATTAGCAATAGAATATAGTCTTATGTATTATGCACTCCACATATGCACACATTTTATCCTTTTATATATACTAATCATAGGAAAACCTTGATTTATGGAGAGTTGAATGATCTAAGCATGTATGAATCTTTCTTTATGAATTTCAACTTATGAGTAAAAAAGTTAAATCTATTTGACATCTATTTCTTGTTTGCTGCATACTATGATATCCCATTTTCCTGCTTGCACGCATTTAATCAAACAGGTTACATATAGACCTAAAGCTGCACATAGTCATCGAAAATTCGAAAGAGGGCACACTGATCAATCATACAAGTAAAGGGATAATACTGGCAGCATAGATACCCTGATCAGACCTCGAACCAAAACCCATATTTCGTCCCTAGCGAAACGAACGAAACATGGTCTTCAAGGATGAGCAGCAAAACCTCATGGAACCAACACGACACGAAAACCAGAACAACATAACACAGCATCAACAAAGAAGGAAGAGCACATCACCTCGAAGCGCGGTGTAGTTCCCCGATCAGATCTGTGCGAAGTGGAAGAATGCTTCATGATGTTGCGAACTGCCTCGTTTTTAAAGAGGGAGGTGGAGGCAAGCGATGGCACGCGGAACTCTGACCATTTCCGGCTCCATCCGCAAGTCAATACGACGCAGAAGTTCCAACTGTCCCCGGTCCAAGAACCGGCGTTTAACCTCACCGCCACCCAGCAGGCGGGCTAACTCGGTGCCTACCGCAAACTGTGAGGTGCCTCGTTGACAAGAATATTACCTGACTCGGCGGACGACACGGTAAGCTCGGTGTTAGTAACACTGCAAAGGGTGATCGGATCATCTCGTTAGTGGCCGGCGTGTGGGTAGGTTGGACTTGGAACCACGTCGGTGTTTGCGAGTTGTGGCGGGGGATAAGACAGATTGGCTTTCACTGTCTCCATGTGTGCAATACGTGGCACTTTATCGGCAGACATCATTTCGTTGACGGAATGGTATTAAATCTATTGGAGGATAAGACAGGTGAGACGTGCACCGGATTCACATTAACGTGTTGTTGTTTCCCAGTTGGCTCTTGGCTTTTGTTCTCGTGGTTGGTTGGGAAACGTCCATCGGAATCAATGAGCGTGGCCAGATATGGTACCCTTCAGTGCCATTTGGAGCCCTTCTTGCTAAAGCATTGATCGATTGGAAACGTCCATTCGAGTTAGGCCAAGCCGTTGCCATGAACTATGCATTCAAGATATAAAATTCGAAAATAAAATTCTAAAAAAAAGTCATCAATGATGGAGGGTTTATTTTTTCAACCTTTTAATTTAAACAATACTTTGGTTACTGTTTTGTGGGTGATTTTGGTTGATTTCCGATTCTTCATCCAAACAATTTATCGCATAATCATATAGAGTACGATTTAGAAATGATTCCGAGCACAGTGGTGATGAGCATATCCGATTTAATGTGTGCGTTGGATACACTATCCTGTAATGTCAGAATCAAATTGAGACATCTCGAAGGAAGTTGAAACAAGCACAGAACGTAGTAAACAATAACCAGAGCCAAGCTATACTGATGGCCAGTATAAGCTGATCTTTGTGTCATCCTATAGAGAAACACAGAAATCTAAACAACTAAACAAGCATGTCTCCCTTCAAAACCAGATCACAGAACACATCTTTGCAAACAGATCACTGGGGCAAGATAATACAAATGTGACAGAGGCTTTTTTTTTTTTTGTGGGTTCATGGAATGTTAGTGTCACAATGACTAGGCAGAACAGGTGTACAACTTCACAATTAGGCAGCAAACATGCTTCAATTAATGGACTGATCACAATTCAAATTGAACAGCATCAAATTTCTTCAGATGCCACAGCAAAGATATTGACTATGATTTTTCCACTGCTTTTTACACAGAAAAAGGACATCAAATATGAAATCCAAACACCACATTTGCATAACTTTCAAGCTACACCTAGAATCCTTATGTATGTATCTAAACAGGCTTGTGTGAAGCCAGACATTCTTCAAAGCACAAGCTCTAATGAGCTACACATCTTCCCAATTAGTGACTTGTATATTCATGCAAGAGAAATGCCAAGGAATGGAACTTTCAAAACAGACTGCCTGCACAGGGGTCTAAAGAAAGACTTGACCTACTTGATGCTGGCTTACACTGCAACGTCTGAAGAAAATATAATCCAGCCCGTATCTCCCGACATTAAATTCAGAACTTGTTATAACAGTCCGCTTACTGCAATATTGTCAACTCCATGAACAAGGATGAATTCTTTCTTACCTGAAATCATGTTTCCTGGAACATAGTCTACTGATATTTTTGTTTCACTCAGACAAGCCAGGCCTGATGGAATTACAGAGTTGGTTGTAGTAGGTAAGTCAACCTAAGAATGGGTTTAGCTGTTCTACAAAAAAGAAGAGCTTTTGTTAAAGAATTGGCTCAGCTTTTGATGGTGTAATGTACTTTCAAGTAAATAACACAATGAATTGTGAAGGTCGCTGTAATGCAAGAAAGATTCCAATTAGATAGAAAGCTATATTCATAGGATCGACACAACTATATGGAATTTCACTTCCTTTAGATTTCACAATCTAAAAGGATCAAGTTCTTATGATGTTATTCTCCTGTCTTCGTTCCACATAATATATACAATGGCCTTTCCTTGCATTACCAATGAACAAGCACAAAATTTTTACTGATGGCTTTACCTCCAACTGTCATATAACTAAACTTATAAATTACTTGAACTAGCCCCTCAAAAGAGAGAATATAACGTTCATCAGGGAAGGAGGACACATTACAGATATGAATCTACAAACCATACCAATCACTATGTACATCATTGACTAAGGGCTACCAATAACCAACAATGATCGTTGAAGTTATTTCGTTGATCTAACTCAACTTTTCTGCAAATCGTTGTTCATCACAAACAATTAACTCTTATCAATTTATAATTGATATGTGAATATGACACGTGATATGCCTGATGTCACACCCACCTAGCCAGCATGTTGGACAAGGCCCTATCTCACAACGTTGGTGACGCAGCACCAACAGGGATGCTAACTCTATGCCAACAAGCCTATTCAGCCTAGATGGCTCGTTACCCCATAACCGTAGCCCGACGATTCGATGCACGATCCCATGGCTCAATAAAGGACAGGCAACCTACACAGCCATTCCCGATAGCAACCATGCCTTGGCTCAATGGTCATCCCGACATACTATAAAAACCCCAGATGTGTCCTCAACAAGGAGAACTCTCTCACTACATTTTTTAATCCTCTAAACCCATTGTAACTTAGAAATCATAGGTGCTTTTGTCGGGTATGCCACAGACACAGTTTTACAAAAACATCTGTTGAATCCCCTCTACCAACACTACAGCTTGAGCCTATGACAAGTGCGGAAGTGGACCTTGATTCGATTTGAATCCTCTCCACATGTAGGATGACCTGAATCCTTAACAATTATTATGGTAATCCTAACACCTTACATATCACTATAAGCAATAATTGCAACATCAGATACCAAATGTCTGTCGATTAGGAAAATTAAAAAGGATCACATAACGTTCTTAGGCATACATCTTTGCCTTCTAGAACATAAAATTGCCACATTAAAATTTCCCATCCAGACATATGAAATGAACATAAAATTGCCACATTAAATCGCCATGCTGAGTACGCAATGCTTATCATGTATAACCAACACAATTTGAGCCAATCTATCGAACCAAAAAAACAGAAAGATTCCTACTTGAACTACTTTTACTAGGTGCTACATATATATATATTTATTTTGTGTATATAGTGAACATGGGGTTCAATTGAAGACCAAAAGCCATCAAGCAAAAAGCATAACTGAGATCAATTCTTAAAAAGCCTGAAAGCAGTACACATATCTATGCCGACAGAAGCAGAGGCATCTTGATGGAGCGGTTACTGTTGCGAGGCGGTGGGGTTGGGGTTCCACTGGGCAGGGGTGACGGCCTTCTTGATGGAGAGGGCGTGGATCTGCTTCATCTGCTCCGCCAGTGCCGTGTTCACAAGGCGGTGCCGCTCCAGCAACCGCTTACCCTCGAAGTGCTCCGACACGATAGTCACTTCGAAGCTCGCTCCGCACCTTCCCACAATCACCACCGTAACCAAACATAGAAATCAAAGATAAAAAGAAAAACAAATGCTTACCCTCCGGACGTATCGATCACTACCTGAAATGCCCGAAACCAAAAAAAAAAATCGTTAGGGTTTGCACATATTCGTAGAAGCTGAGAATTCGATTCGAAGCTTACCAGATGAGAAGGGTTAAGGCTCGAATTCAAAGCGATTTCCACTTCTTCTTTCGTTACCCCCATGTCTCGACAATCTTCCCTCTCGTCCTCGACGATCTGTGTGTCAATCCGGGTTCGGGCTCCCTTCTTAAAGCGGCGTGACTTGCGTCGTGGCCGTCGCTATAGTGATGGACGGTCAAGATCGATAAGATCGGCGAGTGGAGAAGCCCGATGGTGTTCCTCGTGATTGCGAAATTTTGCATCACAGATAATGATAGAAAATTTACGAATCTTTCAGAGAAGAATACCCAAAAGCGATGTATATCGTTCTGTGACCGCATCTTTGTGTGATCTCAAGGAATCACTTCGTCTGCCTCTCTTCTTTTTCTCGGCCACTTATTTCTGCCGACGACCGAAAGTGTTCGATTGATTCCAAAACGGATAAAGAAAAGCAGAATTGAAGGGGATGGAAAGCACAGCCACTACAGGGAGAATTATTCGGTCACAGAAAATTTTAGAACATCAATCGAGTAGAAAATATCGATAGCATGATAATTTTCTTGAATGAAGCTGAGCAGAAGGGGCATATCCAATGAAACTATGTTGGGAGTATCAAGACTTATTCGTCTTCATTTCTCTGAAGAATAATTAAGGAGAAGGCACAAGGTCCGGCCCAAAAGAGCTCGGCACCGCTGTCCCAGTGCCCATGGGCTCCACTAGCAGTCGCGTGGACCCCGCGTTCGAGCCGACCAAGTCAGGCCGGGCGAAGACAAAACCCCGCACCTCACAAGGACAGACTCTGACCGCTTTCACGTGCTCCGGCTTTTAATGCCGCCATCCGCCCCAAACCTCTCCCCCCAATTAAAAAATAAATCCTTCATCGGAGAGTTAAAAAATATAATTATCGATTTAATTTCATTAGAAAGATGATAATAAAATCGAAAACTCAGGCAGGGGTCGCCTGCTATCCTACCGCAGGCCCTAAATTACACTTGCGGCACATTGTACCCCAGTGTAACTGCTAAATACCTCGCATCCACTCCGACTACTAAACAGAGGAGAGAGAGAGAGAGCAAAGGATGGCGGCGGAGACGTTGGTCGGGTACGGCGGGGAGGGGGAGGGGGGCGATGGGGCGGTGGGGGTGGAGGCGGCGTTCCAGGCGTTGAACACCATCATCCAGCTCCACTTCGAGAAGATCCTGGAGAAGAAACGCGATGTGGACACGCAGAAGAAGGAGCTATGGCGTCTCTTCCAGCTCTTCTTCCTCTTCCTCGCGGTGGTGCTGGCCGCCCAGCTGGGGGCGTCCCCCGATCGCCTCCAGTGCCGCCACTGCTGGGCCCCAATCGGCCTCCTCTCCCTCGCCCACCTCGCCTTCTACGTCGCCGTCGCCCAAACCCTCCGCTGCATCAACGGCTTCAAGTACCAGCGCCGCTGCCACAAGCTCACCCTCGCCCTCGCCACCGATCGCCTCAAGCTCCTTAAGTTACGCTTCTCCTCCTCCTCCTCCGCCGCCGCTGCCGGCGCCGAGCCCCCTCCCGTTCTCCCCTCCGACTTCGAGATCCACTACCAGGAGCCCCCGGAGAGTTACCTGGGCAAGTTCAAGCGCAGCTGGGCCCTGCACTTCGGCTTCCTCATGTGCACCTTCGGCTTCATGGTCTCCGCCTCCGTCGTCCTCCTCTGCTTCTAGGATCTTCCATTCCGTCACATTTTGGGCATTCCCGGTGAGATGGACATGGATCTGAGATGGTGAGTGGGTGATCCTTCTCTTCTTGTTACCATTCTTGGAGAATGATGAATGCTTAGCCGTGCTACGTATCACGGTTGGTCAACCATGCAAGATCAGCATGGTTTGACGTGTCTTGTTCCCAACCTCGTGTTTATTCATCCATATTTATCTATCTATCTATCTATTTATTTATGCTCTAGAATTTAGTTCGATTGATCCATTTTATTAATAAAGAGTGCATGATTGCAGTTCTTCCAAGTTTTAGCATAACTTGATTTGGGATGCTCATTAACTGGATTTATTATGTTATATTACACTCTTGGATGAAGAAGGACATTGTACTTTAATGACTTGTTTGTAGGGAGAAGGTACATGGATGAGTTGTGAGACTCATTGCAACGAGGCCCGTCTTCCATCTATAGTTGTTTTTGTGGCCACTGATCACTAAAGAAAGGTTATCAGTTAGTTCTCCACCACCCACAAGCATGTTGATGATCTACCATCATTGTCTTTGTGGTAGAAGCCTTGCCTATTAAGCTACCATCCTATGCAGCATAATAGCTATACTGAAAGGTTGGAAGTATCCTTTGTTGCACTTGATCAAGAGACAGTCGACTGCAATACTGTGAACTGACTGTTCCTCAGGTTTGTGATTGGCAGTCTGAAACTTGGAACTCTAACATATTGAAATTGAGGATGTATCAATTTTATTTGCTGTGAAATCATCTGAAAAGGTTAATCTGATGGATGTTATAGATTTGTCTCATCCATATTATTGTACTGAGAGAAACAAACATCATGAGAGGTGATTCAGCTTGCCAACAAAGTACTGATGAACTTATCTCATGTGCATGTATTGTTGATCATTAAATGGTTTGTGGTTGACAACTTCTGAGTTTAATGAGGATTCGATTGCTTCATAAATGAACAGGACTTTTGTTGTGGTTTAGAAATGCTGGTGGAAATAAATCACTTTGTTTACCTGCTACCTCAAATCTATTCTCTTCCTGTTTTCCTTGGCAGTGCCCTGATGGATTTTTCACAAGAAATGGAATGTGGAGAAGCTCACCACCACACCACCATTCTGTGGAATGATTTGCTCATTTGGCCCGTAGCAGATGCGTCGGCAGTAGGAATCAAAGCAAGATCATCCCGGGTGAAATTAAAATATGAGAGAAAAAGAGCTCGAGTAACGACCCGTTGACTCATCGGTTTGACCAGTTGATCCATTGGTCCGACCAGTAAATACAAGACTTGACTTGATCGTTTTCTTGTTCGGTTCTGAGTACCTATCTAAATAGGCCACGTGGGGACCAAGGAGGGCCCACGTGTTCTTCGTTCTGTTCGAGTGGTGCCTAATGAAGCCAAAACAGAAGAGGGAGGCCGACGTGGTTGGCTGATACTTCACCATTATGGGGGCACCTCATTGATTGAGACGCATATGGCTCAACAAATTGGCCCAAATATTGATTCCATTAGCACTAATTTTATATAGGAAGATGTCAAAGGCAACAGAGACAGAAGATCTACAGGGAAAATGGTGATAGCTTCGTTTTCTGTGTGACCAGCCACTTCTCATGCAGAAAACATGATTCGGTTACTAACCTCATGAGACAAATGTCACGTTCTGTATGATCTATGCTTGTCCTGGTTCTGCTAAACCTACAGCATCTTATATTTCTTGAATGAATTATTAGTCCTTTTTCAACTTGATATGTTATGTATAAGCCTATGGAGTTCGTCAGATTCAACATTCGTCAAAATTACTTACAAGATGGAGACAGAATTGTAACTCCTAAATATCAATCATCGATAGTCAGTGCATTGTAAATATTGTCTTTTTAGTGCATTGTAAAATTTAATCAATCGATAGTCACTTAATACTACTGTCCTTTGGTATGTTAAGTAGCAGCAGTTGTCGGATTCCAAAATATAAATATTCCAATAAAAGAATATATATATATATATATATATATATATATATATATATATATATATATATATATATATATATATATATATATATATATATATATATAT